TGGACTTTTGTTTCAATGTCCAATGCACAGTACTTACCAAGAGTCAAGACTCTAGCCTGTTGCTTCTGCTGTTTGCAGCCAATTATCATGGCCTCTCTCTCTTGCTCCTGAACTTTCTGGACTATTGCTTTTATGTCCAATGCTAAAAATTTAATCAAAGCCAAGGACTTGGCTTCTTGTGGTTCCTCTCTTTGCCTATAACCAGGCATCATTGTCATCTCTAAGGACAACCTCTTCACCAGCACTTTTTTGGACTAAGTGCTTCAGGTGCGTCACCTCCTCATCAGCCATCGAACAATTGAAGTATTTCATAAAAATGAACACTTACAATGGTCCGAACTCAGCCTCGGAGAGGTTTACAACAGCAATCTACTTGAATCTACTTGAAGCTACTCCTATGAATCGAAGTGCAGTGCGGGTATTTAAAGTGCAGGTATTTAAAGAACAGGTATTTAAAGACTGGAAATGTAAAAGACTGGAAAAGAAAATATATGAAGTAAATGACTGATTTGTATGATCTGAGTCCGTCTTTTTTTCTGGGGGCTGCCCTGCTATTTATACTCGTCAGTGATGACCTTCGAACTGTACTTCGAACCGTCGAACTGCTCCTCCATGATCGCTGATCATGCTTCCTTACAAGTAGCTCCATTACGCCATTACTGGCAGTTGAGCTTCCCTCTTGTACTTGAATTTGAATATGAGTAACCGTTGAAGATATGTCATCTTGCATCCCGTTATTGATCTAGTGTTACTCAGATCATGTGAGGACCAATATTTATTGCCACGTGTACGATCAGGATTAAAGGCTTGAATAACCTTCCTTTATTACCCTTACTCTGCCACGTGTCGAACTGTAACTGGCTTTTACAAAATATGTAGCCAACATTTTCTTATTTAGCGATTTTATCTACAGAAATTTTACCATTAATAATTGTTTGTCTTCTGTCAATACTAATATATTGATTGTCTTCATTCAATAGTTATGATCAGAGAATAAAAAACAGACAAAATAAACGGATCATAAAATCTTATTAAACGTACACATTTTTACTAAATATGCCGAATTCATGTGATAATTTCATAAACTTTTGATATTGCTATAGCTCAAAAAGTGCCACATGTCTCAAATCTTCTTTTTCCAAACCCTTTTATCTTTATCTTTATCTTTATCTCCCTCTATGAATATGGCAATGTTGTAGATCAACGGTGGCTGTGAACGACATTGGCTGTCTCTTTTTGAGATTTGTGTAGCATCGACCAAGTTGACAGCTAAATCGAAAAGTTTCACCTCGATTGATTTCGATTAGCTTGCCAAACAATATCGAATGATTGTCAGGTTGAGGATAAATCCAAATCGATTCAACTTGTGAACACCCCTAATATAAATAAAAAAAAATTATAATTATTTTTTACTCACATATATTATTTAAACAAATTTGTTTCAAATTTTAAATTTTTATTCCTATAACCATAATGACCACATCTACATTTATTAATTTAAAATTTTATATTAACATTTTCAATCAAACATAGGAAACGTATATCCATTCAAATTTTGAATTATATTAGTTTATGGTTTTAAATTATTCTTTAATTTTCTTGTTTGAGAATTTTTTTTTTTCCCCCTTGTTTACCCACTGTAATTTTAGTATGATCGAAATGGATTGGCATATACATGAAAGAGCCCAATAATATTTGGTTAAGCCTAGTGACAAATATAGGCCCATATTACCATTAAAAACAAAAACGAAATTTGGATGAAAGAGCCCAATGACATTTTAGCCCAAAAACATGGAATAGCCCAATCTTCAACCCTTTTCCTAGCTGATTGCCACGTGTATTATTATAAATATTACTAATAATAATTTGCTTCTCGACCAGTAGGAGTTTAGAACTTCAGATAGAGAAGGAAGATCTGACTCCGAAAAAACCCTCTCTTTTTCTTTCTGTACACCACAAATTTTCTCGCGATCCAAACACGTTTCGTCGCTGAGAAAATCCAATCGAATCCAAAAGATGTCTTCGACATTCAGCGGTGATGAAACTGCTCCTTTCTTCGGCTTCCTCGGGGCCGCTGCTGCCCTCGTCTTCTCCTGTATTCAAACCCTAACCCTAGATTACTCTCTCTCTCTCTCTAATTATCTATATAGTTTTGTTTGTACAGATTTTGAAGATTTGGTTTTTGACTGTTTTCAGGTATGGGAGCTGCGTATGGGACAGCGAAGAGTGGTGTTGGAGTGGCGTCGATGGGTGTGATGAGGCCAGAACTGGTGATGAAGTCGATCGTTCCTGTTGTTATGGCTGGAGTGTTAGGTATTTATGGATTGATCATTGCTGTTATCATCAGCACTGGTATTAACCCTAAGGCCAAGTCCTATTACCTGTTTGATGGTTATGCTCATCTTTCCTCTGGTCTCGCTTGTGGCCTCGCTGGCCTCTCTGCTGGAATGGCGATTGGGATCGTCGGGGATGCCGGTGTTAGGTATTGCTCTCTTTTTGGATTGTTCATTTATCTCATTGTTTCATGTTGTTAATTTCTGAAATACATTTTAAGATTGGTTATCAAGTTATGCTATATAATATAGGTTCTTAGCATAGTACTACTTCGAATTAAATCAGGAGTAAATTGAAGAAAACCCATGAATGGATTTGTCAGCTATAAGAGCAGTGCTGGCTAATGAAGGAAAATTGTCATACTGGAAGCATTGAAATCATATGACTAAATTCACAATTATGGGATTGATGGGGATGATCTTATACAATTTGTTATTAATATGTATGATATGATTTTTCTTGTTGCTTAGTTGACTTGAATTTTTGGATCACGGTGTAATCTACTTGACATTGCCTATACATTAAATAAGTTCTTGATAGCTTCTTTATGGTTCTCACTAAATTACTTTTTATATGCACTTGGCTTGTGAATGTTGGATTTCCATGTTTTATTGAGATAGTTTGACCAGTTAAATGGACTTTCAGTAATATACCATCAGCAAGATGTTTCTCCTTTTTTGTTTCCTTTGCCCGTGTGAAATGCATCCTTTTCCCCCTCATATATGGGTTAAGGATTAACCTAAGTGAATGGTCACTTTGGGTTATTTTCATGACCAGTCAACATTATCATGTTGTGTGGGGCTGTGTTACATGGACTTGCTGGTTTAAGGTAGAGTACCCGTGTCGACACGACACGACACGGGTGCAGGTGTGAGATATGTGTCAGATTCGGCATGGTTTTCTTGAACATGGCTGACATGAGAAGAGAAAGAAAAAGGGTTGTTGAGAGAGAGAGCTGAAACTCACCTTTGCGAAGAAAGTCGAGTTGTGAAGCAAGATCAAAGCGCAAACCCTAGTCACAAACTAGACCGAATTGAAGGAGATCTGAAAACCAACATCTCAACGTCAATTCTACCCAGAAAATGACACTAGGGCTTCGATTCCCCTTTGGTCTCTCTCTCTGTGTCTCTTCTATTTTCTTCTTCCCTTCTCTCTCTCTTCTTCTTTGACTCTGTCTTCTCTTCCTCTCTGTTCTCTTTCTTTGCTTTCTATTTATAAATGATATTAATATAATAATATATAATAGTATTCATGGATACTGGTTTTAAACTTTATTATAGTGGTAAGGATAGACGCAGAAATGGGGTAGGAATCATAATTGCCAAGGGTCTTGTGGAAAGTGTGGTGGCGGTCACTAGGAAAGGAGATAGGATTATGCTAATTAAACTAGTTATTGGAGGGAATATAGTGAATATTATTAGCGCTTACGCCCCTCAAGTAGGGTTAGATGATCAGATTAAGAGGGATTTTTGGGAGTAAATGGATGAGATCTTACTGGAGATACCCGTAGGAGAGAACCTAGTTATAGGTGTAGATTTTAATGGCCATGTGGGCATAGATAAAGTAGGTTATGAAAGGGTGCATGGTGGATACGGTTTTGGTGACAGAAATGAGGCTGGAGAGAGAATCTTAGATTTTGCGTTGGCTTCTGACCTGGTGGTGGCCAATACTATGTATAAAAAGAGGGAGAAGCATTTGATAACCTTTAAGAGTGGATTAGTTAAGAGCCAAATAGATTATTTCTTAGTGAGAAAAGTGGACTGTCTAAAATGCAATGATTGTAAGGTGATTCCTGGTGAGAGTCTGGTCTCTCAATATAGGATTTTGGTACTAGATTTATGTTTTAGAGGGCATTACCAAGTTAGGAAGGATGGTGGGCGTCGTAGGACAAGATGGTGGGACTTAAAAGGGGAAAAATTAGAAATATTTAAGAATCGAATGGATAAGGAAGGTACTTGGGACTTAGAAGGTGATGCTAACACTATGTGGAATTCGATGACCACTTGTATGAGGAGAATCTCAAGGGAAGTGCTTGGAGAGTCGAACGGAACGGGACCCAACTCTAGGGAAACTTGATAGTAGAGGGAAGAGGTCCAAGCGGTAGTTAAGGCAAAAAAAGAGTACTTTAAAAAGTGACAGAAGGATAGAACTGAGAAAAACCTTAAGAGCTATAGATTGGCTAATAAGGAGGTCAAAAAAGTAGTGAGAGAGACTAAGTTGAAAGTTTATAATGACCTATACACTAGACTAGATAGTAAGGAGGGAGAGAAGAGGGTATACCAACTTGCTAAGATACGGGAGAGGAAAACAAGAGATTTTAATCAAGTAAAGTGCATCAAGAGTGAGGATTCTAAGGTATTGGTGAAGGATGATGAGATTAAGGAAAGATGGAAGAATTATTTTGAGAAATTGTTAAATGAGGAACATGGAAGTACGACAATAGGGGAAGAAATAATCAGTAATACGATAAACCAAGACTATAGGTTCTATCGCAGGATTAGGAATCCGATATCTAGTTTGCACCACAGTATCCTTTAAGTTCTGTTGGATATCTAGTATAATTTAGCCCAATGTTATGAGTAAATCTGAGGTATCTTAGAACCCTTATAATTGCTTTCTAGTGTTCTACTCCTGGGTTACTCGTATATCTACTTAATTTACTTACTACATAAGCTATATCTGGGCGAGTGCAGTTCATCAAGTACATTAAGCTTCCATTACCAATTAATAATTGTTTGTCTTCTGTCAATACTAATATATTGATTGTCTTCATTCAATAAGTTTGATCAGAGAATAAAAACAGACAAAATAAACGGATCATAAAATCTTATTTAAACGTACAACATTTTTACTAATATGCCGAATTCATGTGATAATTTCATAAACTTTTGATATTGCTATAGCTCAAAAGTGCCACATGTCTCAAACTTCTTTTTCCAAACCCTTTTATCTTTATCTTTATCTTTATCTCCCTCTATGAATATGGCAATGTTGTAGATCAACGGTGGCTGTGAACGACATTGGCTGTCTCTTTTTGAGATTTGTGTAGCACGACCAAGTTGACAGCTAAATCGAAAAGTTTCACCTCGATTGATTTCGATTAGCTTGCCAAACAATATCGAATGATTGTCAGGTTGAGGATAGATCCAAATCGATTCAACTTGTGAACACCCCTAATATTAAATAAAAAAAAATTATATAATTTATTTTTTACTCACATATATTATTAAACAAATTTGTTTCAAATTTTAAATTTTTATTCCTATAACCATAATGACCACATCTACATTTATTAATTTAAATTTTATATTAACATTTTCAATCAAACGTAGGAAACGTATATCCATTCAAATTTTGAATTATATTAGTTTATGGTTTTAATTATTCTTTATTTTCTTGTTTGAGAATTTTTTTTTTCCCCCTTGTTTACCCACTGTAATTTTAGTATGATCGAAATGGATTGGCATATACATGAAAGAGCCAATAATATTTGGTAAGCCTAGTGACAAATATAGGCCCATATTACCATTAAAAACAAAACGAAATTTGGATGAAAGAGCCAATGACATTTTAGCCCAAAACATGGAATAGCCCAATCTTCAACCCTTTCCTAGCTGATTGCCACGTGTATTATTATAAATATTACTAATAATATTTGCTTCTCGACCAGTAGGAGTTTAGAACTTCAGATAGAGAAGGAAGATCTGACTCCGAAAAAACCCCTCTTTTTCTTTCTGTACACCACAAATTTTCTCGCGATCCAAACACGTTTCGTCGCTGAGAAAATCCAATCGAATCCAAAAGATGTCTTCGACATTCAGCGGTGATGAAACTGCTCCTTTCTTCGGCTTCCTCGGGGCCGCTGCTGCCCTCGTCTTCTCCTGTATTCAAACCCTAACCCTAGATTACTCTCTCTCTCTCTCTAATTATCTATATAGTTTTGTTTGTACAGATTTTGAAGATTTGGTTTTTGACTGTTTTCAGGTATGGGAGCTGCGTATGGGACAGCGAAGATGGTGTTGGAGTGGCGTCGATGGGTGTGATGAGGCCAGAACTGGTGATGAAGTCGATCGTTCCTGTTGTTATGGCTGGAGTGTTAGGTATTTATGGATTGATCATTGCTGTTATCATCAGCACTGGTATTAACCCTAAGGCCAAGTCCTATTACCTGTTTGATGGTTATGCTCATCTTTCCTCTGGTCTCGCTT